ATATAGTATCAAAGAACTAAACCAAAGTTATTTTATTGTTCAAAATTGATTTCTCCATTTAAAGTTAATTTTTTTTACTTAGAGAAATTTCTTTATTCTTTGTGTTTAAGTTGTTAATCTAAATTTCTATACTTTTTTCCTTATGAAAGGACAATTTAACATTAAATAAAGAAATAGTAGCATATAAGGTAACTTAGCAGCGTATGTACATCGTGAAACAAGTAAGATATTGACCAAAGAACCAAAATAGGTTGCATGATAAGTCTAGCATGGGTGTGTTTTATTAGTTTACAGTGTAAAGGAAACATATGAGCTTAGTTTGTGAAAGACGGCCACGGTAGCAGGAGTTCTTGGCAAAGGGTATAAAGTTGGTGTGCTTATAATAAGTTTTTATTTTAATCCTCATATCAAAGTTACATTGGTCGTACTTAGGAGTCTATATTAGTATACTTAATGCCATATCAACAAAGTTTTAAATTATGATCCAAATATTTATGAAATTATAGGGACCAACTTTTGGATTAACTAAAATATAGGGATGAAAAATAATAAAAATGTGTAAAAACTATGAGATCCATTAAAAAATTATGGGAAAATAAACAAAAAATACTTACTGAAATTTAAAAAGACAAAAAGATCATCCAAATAAGTGAATGACCAAATGGGTACGAGGTATTAATCTGATTTGCAAGTTTTGGTGGAATGACAAAAACATCCTTGAAGTGAGAAAAAGAAGTAGCTGAAGTTTTCACACATTAACACATTAAAGCGAGTTAGCAATACGTCAAAAATTGAAAAGCTGAAAACAAGAAGCTTGAAGCAACACTTGAAAGATGGAAAGAGGAAAGTGTAAGTAATTTTTCTTTCAAAATGCCATCACCTTACTCCTTCAACTATCATCATTATGTAAAGATTGTTCAGCTAATGGGTTTTGCTCATAGGTCAGTACATTTGTAGTAAGAGAGGGAATTAACGTGTGATATTATGTAAGTAAGTAAAGATTGAGGGTAGGGTTTAGGTTTTTAATCTTTTTGGTTTTTGCATGCTGAGACAAGGATGGGTTTGTTGATAAAGATAGTTTAGATTAAGAATTTGATAGGGATGACAGATTGACATATCGAAAATGAAAAAAAGGGTAAGTGATTAGTGGTGTGATGTTTGAGGGCAACTAGTAAGTATAAGGTGGTCAGTGTCGTTAAAATCATTAGTCAAATTGTGAAACCTTATATTGAAGTTATCAATAGAGGAAGTGTGTGTTGGGTGTTTCGTAAGATGATAAAAATTGATTATTGGGAAAATAAAATTTTGATTTATGCTTTTTTGCTGCAGGTTAGCAAGCTTTGATGACATTTAAAACTGGGTCAACATCTCCAAAGGGATTTTTGACCCCTTCTTAATGTTTTTGGTAGAAGGGTTGGTGGACAAGCTATTCCTTTTATAAATGATGTATAGTGAATATGATATGTTTTGTGGCTTGAATAACAAAAATAATTAAGTACTGGTTTAATCTTAATATTAACTTGTCATTTGAATATATATAATATAATTGCTGTCACATGCTTGCTGGATTTTGGTAAATACTATCACTTTAGTGGTCAATTCGTTACAAGTACTGTGAATCATGAATGTCAATATTGATAAATTTATTATGATTTACTTTAGCCGTGCTTGTATACTAATTTCTCAAAACATTAAGAGATTAAATTTTGTGGAAATTGACTAGGTCAATAGTATAAAAATGGTCAAATGTCTAAAAATACATTGCAAAAAATGTTACTGGGATGGTCACTTTCATTTCGCAAGTTATTAGTCTTGTTACATATTTAGTAAAATTGTCTGCAAATGGTTAGAGACAAGGTGCAAATAAATAGTTTGTAGAAAATGCTGTGTAATTAGTTACTTTTATTTCGCAAGTTGTTAATCAAATTACATTTATAGTAACTTTGTTCAACACAATCTCCCCAAGTTTTGCTAAGTCTGTAAATGGCTAAAAACATGTTGCAAAATATATTATAAAAATTATTAAATTTATTTTGAAAATTGTCAATCATTTTGTAAATGTTGTCATAGACTTGTTTCATTATAATCACAACCAAGAGTAAACACAATTATCCCCTGTTGTCAATAACTAGGCAATAATATTGATTAAATATGTCTTTGTAAACAAATTCCATCTACAACTGTAAGTCAAATATCATAATAATAGCTGTGTAATGCATTTTTCTTTACAAGTGCTATGTAATCTGCCTAGCACTTACTACTAGGACAGACATTGTTTTTTAGTTGTTGTGGTGGGTTGTTTTGATAAAAGCAAGCTCAATGCTTCTTCACACCTTGAATTAAAATTATGATTAAGTAACTACCATATGAAATTTTGTCATAAGTCAGCAACATGTTTTTCAATATAGTCAACTATAACATCAGGCTCCCATTTGCTCAACCATATTAATAAGTGAATGCCACAGTCTCGCCTGTACATAGAAACATACCGACAATGTACATGAGTCAAAATCATAGTAGCATTCACACATAATAATAAGAACTTAAACCACTCATAGATTATTTTGTTATGGAATAGGGGCCCAAATAATGTCACTCACTTTCTTCTTCCTAAATAGTCATTCACATCCCATATATGACTCTACATGCAGGCTTTAAAAGAAGGGAAATGAGAAAGAGGAATGCCAATAAATGAACTGAAAAAGATGATTTTTAATCCATTTGCACACAATTTTACTAAATATATAATATTAATAACAACTTGTGAAATGAAATTAACTATTTTTATAATAAGTTTTGCATCCTATTTTCATACTATTGACCTGGTTAATTCCCACCAAATCCCTCTTATAGGAATAAAACAAGAGGCAAAATGTTTCATCAAATTAGAATATAAGTACACCTGAAGAAGTACATCATAATAAACGTGTTACCAGTAACTTTCATAATTTACTATATGTGTAATGGAATTAACCACTAAAGTGATAATATTTACCAAAAATTAGTAGGTTTATGACAGCAACCACATTACATATATTCAAAGTAAAACTAAACCTATGCTTAATGATTTTGACAATTAGTTTCCATTTTAGTTCCCTAATAATTAATTTCCATCATCTTACGAAACACCCAACACACACACACACTTCCTCCATTGACAACTTCAATATAGAATTTCACACTTCAACTAATGATTTAAACAGTACTAACCACTTTATGCTTATTGTTTGCCCTCAAACATCATGATCATGTAATCACTTGTTATCATTTTTTCATTTTTGATTTGTCAATCTCTCATTCCTATCGAATTCTCAATCGAAACCCTCTTCATCAACAAACCCATCCCCATTTGACCATCCAAAAGCCAAAAAAATTAAGAAGCCAAACCCCACAATCAACCTTTACTCACTTATGTAGTGTTGCATGTTAATTCCCACTCTTATTACAAACCCATTTGCCTACAAGTAAAACCTACTGAAATGAATCATCTTTGCATAATGGTTATAGTTAGAGGAGTAAAATAATAGCATTTTGAAAGAGAAGTTACTTATAGTTTCCTTTTTACAGCTCTCAAGTGTTACTCTAAGCTTCTTTTTTCCAGCTCTTCAGTGCATTGGTGTACAATGAAAACCTTCAGTTGCTTATTTTTCTCACTTGAGGGGTGTTTTAGTCATTCCATCAAAACTTGCAAATCCAGACTTCATTTCATTTATTTGGTTGACCTTTTTGTCTTTTTCAATTTCAATGAGTATTTTTGGTCATTTTCCCAAGAATTATCGTTGTTGATCATTGTTAAACTAAATATTGCAATTTAGTTATTCTTAATAAAATAATTAATATATTAATTTTTATTCTTGGTAATAGCCATTGAAAGAAAGAACCAAAAATTAAAAAAAAATTCATTTGTATTTTTTAATGAAATTGAAAACATTTTTTGTTTAATTTTTAGATATATTATATTGAAAAATATGCATTTCTAACAATGAAAGTTTACACCAAGGGGTAATGGGCACTATGAAATTTAGTTGAATGCAAAAATGTACATGAATTTTTTAAAGGAAGAAAATAATAAAATTTATCAACTCCCATAAATGTTAGTTAACTTTATTCCTTATCTCTTTAGTATAATGGACTAAATTGAGAAAAAAAATTAAAGAAATAAAACAATTACTTAATTATAGTATACATTATATGATATCCTTAAGATATTAATATGTATCATTAGATTATTTATTAGTTTATCAAAGAAAATAATAAATATAATATTTTAAAGTAATTTATTTAATTTTTTTTTTTTTTAAATTAGTTAACTACATTTTATATTAAAAATAAGAGATACTACTTGGGTGCAAGTAATAAATCTTGTATCCTAGAAGGGAAATACTTCATCTTGGATAAAAGGATTCAGAGGCTGGGAAAACAACATGATAAAGAAAGAGTGTGTTGACTATGATGGGAGAAAGATGGATGGACTTGAAAGTGACAAATTGATGAAGAGAAAATGTGGCATTTGGTAAGACACAGAAAAATAAAATTAACAAATGTTTATGGGAGGTGATGAATTTTATTATTTTTCTGTCAGGTCATGTATATTTTTTCCTCTAAGTAAACTTTATGGTATCTAATGTCCGTTGATACAAGCCTCGTTGTTAAAATTGCATTTTAAAACTAACTTCACTGGCCTCACTAATGGATGTTATTGGTGTGGTGTCAGATATCTTTTTTTGACAATTTTATCTTATTTTTGCACCCAATTAAATTTTATGTTGCAGTGCTTCTTATGATAGATTTTGTTTCTAAATTTATACCTACCCAATCATAAAACAGATTAGAGCTAATAATCTAGTCTCCGCTGGACGTGAACTCTCCAAAACCTTCACAGGTGGCTTTCAAAAAATAAAAAAAAGGGCTCTCCAAAACCTAATCGTTGGCCGCCGGCGAGAACCTGAAGGAGTCCTCAAGCAGTGTGGGGTTTTACCATTACGTCTGGGGTTTTAGGTAATCTCATCTTTCTTATAAAAAGCCATTGATAAAAGCTTATTGGAAATCAATGGGTCTGGTTCTAGCCCTCCATTGGCCGCCGCCGAGAATGCTTCACTTGCAGAAAAACTGAGCCTCTATCGATCGCCTTTGGACACTGCAAGATGGCTCGCCGGAGCCAGAAAAGTCCTAGAAAGGAGCACCTTGGCGGGTCCCCTAATCATCAAGGGGCAGAGCCGCAACCCACCGAAGTCAATGCCCAGAGGCCTCAGCGACTCTATCCTGAAATGGAGTCAACAGTTCCGGAAGACCCAGAAACTAAAAGGGAGGAGCAGAAAATGGTCAAGAAAATTGAAGGCGAGCAAAAGAATGAACCCCATCAATTTTGCAATGAACCAGATTCAATATCCTCGAAGGAGACGATAACGAAAAGAGTGAACGACTTGGATTCTAAGCACCACGAGTTATGCCCTAAATTAGACCCATTATCCTCCAAAGACTCAAACCAAGTACTGCTACCTGAACCTGGGCCAGTTGTTTTGAAGAACGAAACCAGTGGACTTTCCGCTGAACCAGACTCAACAACCCCAAGGAAGAAGAAGAGGAAGAAGGGGAAAAGATTGTCCACGACTGAAGGGGCAGAAACAAACGACGTGCGCTATGACTGTGAGTTAATCCCTAATTTGGACCCATTACCCCAAAAAGACTCAGACCCTGCACTGCTACCTGAACCAGAGCCCGTTGCAGAAAGGAACGAAACTAATCAATTTTGCACTGAACCAGAGTCGGCAACCCCAAGGAAAAAGAAGAGGAGGAAGAAAAGCTTGCCCACCACTGAAGGGGCAGAAACAAACGACGTGCCCCCCAAGCACTGTGAGTTAATCCCTCATTTGGACCCATTACCCCCAAAAGACTCAGGCCCTGTACTGCTACCTGAACCAGAGCCAGTTGCAGAAAAGATCGAAACTAAGCAACTTTGCACTGAACCAGAGTCAGCAACCCCAAGGAAGACGAAGAGGAAGGGGAAGAGGAAGAACTTGTCCAAAAGTGATGCAACTGAGACAAGTCACGTGGATCCCGGGCACCTTAAGTTATGCCCTAATTTGGATCCATTACCTCCAAAGAACACGGACGCTGTACTGCTTCCGGAACCAGATCCAGTTGCAGAAAAGAATGAAACTAATCAACTTTGCACCGAACCAGAGTCAGCAACCCCAACGATTACAAAGAGGAAGAAGAAGAGGAAGAGGAAAAGCTTGTCCAAGAGTGAAGGGACTGAAACTTATCACGTGGATTCCGGGCACCTTGAGTTATGCCTTAATTTGGACCCATTACCCCCAAAGGACTCGGACACTGTACTGCTTCCTGAACCAGAATCATTTGCTGAAAAGAACGAAACCAATCTGCTTTGCACTGAACCAGACTCAGCAGCTCCAAAGAAGACTAAGAGGAAGAAGAAGAAGAGGAAAAGCTTGCCCAAGAGTGAAGGGACTGAAACAAATCATGTGAATTCCGGGCACATTGGTTTATGTCCTAATTTGGACCCGTTTCCCCCAAAGGACCCGCCCTCTGTACTGCTGCCTGAACCAGAGCCATTTGCTGAAGAGAAAGAAACCAATCAACTTTGCACTAAACCAGACTCAACACCCCTTAAATTTAAAGGGGCAGGAATAAAAGACATGGATACTGAGAACCCTGAGTTATTCCCTAAGTTAGACCCATTACCCCACAAAGATTCTGATCCTCTACTGCTCCAGGAATCAAAGCCAGCACCACTGAAACAAGCAGAGCAGAAGAAGAAGAAGAAGAACAAAAAGAAGAAGAAGAAAAATAAGGGTGAGCTAAAAGGTGAAGGGGTCAAATCAAATAGGCCCAATGAAAAACATTCTCAACGATGTCATAAAGCGAAGCCGAAAACACCAGAAAAACGGAATCAGAAAAAGAGAAAGAGACAGGTGACGAATGAAAACCATGAGTCTTCTGTTCGGTCAATGTTGATTGACGAGTACAACTTAAGAAGTAGAGGAGCACACAGTAGTGAAGCAGAGCCTGGACCCTATGTCCCCAAATGGCCCTTAAAAGACTATGAACATTATGAGGTATTAAAATACAAAAATGTTCGTGGATTTATTTTCAGTCATCAATGAATTTTAAGTTCTGGCATCGGAGTAGTTAGAATTCTTTTATCGTGTCTAAAGAATGGACTTTTGTTCTTTAAGATTGATATAAGTAGAATCAGCCTACTGCTCTTAAATTGTGACTTAATCTTTCTAGAGATGTTTGGAGTGTGGACAAATTTGTCAAAGAGACCAGAAATGTCGAGGGCGGAGACATCGCAAGAGTTACGAGGAAATTTGCTTTTTTTGTGGTACAGTTGGGCACCCACTTGGGAGATGTCCAATATCTCCAGGTATATTGGAAGTTTTATGCTTATTTGTTAATGTGAAAACTTATCAAAATGTTATGCTATTGACTGATTGTTTTTAATTTAGTTTTTTTGTTGTGTCAGCTGTAGGTGTCAGGTGTGGTTAAGATTTGCTAGATAGTCTGTGCTTAAGATCATATATGATTTAGATGGGAAAGAGGGGGGGAGCGAAAGGAAGAGAATCAGAGATTTGTTTTGTTTTGTTTTTTGTTTTTTGTTTTTTTTTTTCTTTTACTTTTTTTTGGGTGGGGGTACAAAGGAGAAGAGAGAACATGAGAAACGAAATTCAATTCTTATTCCATACAATCCTTACACACGCCAATGACGTTGACCCCTTATTCCCCTTTATAGACGCTGATCAATTAATTATCCTAACTACCCAACTAACTACCTGTTATCACAATTACAATTATTTATCAATTGCCAACACGATCCATTCTTAACAATGTTGGCAAATGGTGTTGTGAGCCAATGTGAGTTCTAATGTATTTTGTTATTTATTTTGGTGGATCAGTACTGATTTTGAATAATCCTCTGAAGTTAATATCTTCTTGTAATGATTAGAGTTTAGAAGCTGTAACAAAATACGCTTCCCTGGATCTGGATTTGCTTGCCTGGAACTTGTTTAAGAGGGATGGCTTTGTCAAGTTATCTAGTCTGTAATTGTGCAGTGCTATTGTGATAACTTTATTCCACTGAAACTGGTTGATACATATGGAAGGAGACACTCCTCCACATTTTGCTCCATATTATTTCTGGCACTTGATTGATCAGTTCCCCCCGAGTTAATTTCAGCATTGTTTTCCCGCTGGTGAATGTGTTCAGTGTTGGTTGGGTCAGGTTCAGTCATTTCATGTTTGTTTGAAGAGTTTTTGGATCTGTCTGATGAGTTTTCCGGCCTGGTATGTGTAGTTTCTGGTATTTCAGGTCTGGTGTGTGTTTTTTCAGTTCTGGTAGGTGTAGTTTCTGGTGTGTTTTCAGGTATTTCAGGTCCAGTATGTGTGGTTTCAAGACTGTTTTCAGATATATTGCTGTTAGGAGTCTGAATTAGCCATTTTTCGGCTCCATAACCCTTCCCCTAAATGAGTAATTTAGGGTATGAGGCGTCGCCTTCATAGAAAGCTACATTGTTGGAGATGTGAAGTTTCTTGGTTATGGGACAATAGCAGTTATAGCCTTTTTGAGTTGATAGGTTTCAAGATGTCTTTGGATAGGTGAGATGTAATTGAGAGTTTTAGAAGGCATCTCCGTAGAATAAGCTTGGAACATTTCTTTCCATCATGATGGCTTGAGTCACTTCTAGCAAGTGTCTATTGTTTCTTTCAGCCGCCTGGTTTTGTTGGGAATTGTAAACACATGAAGTTTGATGGTGAATTCCCTGATGCTCAAGGAGTTCTCTGAAAGATTAACTCATGTGTTCACATGCATTATCGCTTCTAAGAACTTTAATAGAGGTCTGAAATTGATTCTTAACAAAATCTATGAAATTTTTTAAAGGTTTCAAAAACTTCTTATTTCTCTTGGTAAGTAAACTCATGTTAACCTTGTGTGGTCATCAATGAAAGTACAAACCATCTAGTGTTGGAAGGGGTTTTAGTTTTGGCTGGTCCTAAATATCACTATGAATTAGAGTAAAAGGTGAAGTTGATAAGTAGCTTTTGTTTGTTTTGCAAATTGGCATATATCATAATGAAAAGGAGTAGAGTTTTTATTCAATAAATTGGGTAACAGATGCTTCGTATGGTTAAAACTTGGGTTGGCCTAATCTTTGATGCTACAATAAAATATCTTTATTTGGAGAGTTGGAGCTAATCATAGCTTTCATGCTATCTTCTCATTCCCTTGAAATAGTAGAGCCCAACCTACTCCTTAGCTGTGCCAAGTTTCCTCCCCAAGATCAAATCCTGAATTACACATCGATCATCATAAAATAGACTAGACATTTCTGTTTTTTAGTTAGTTTGCTAACAGAAATCAAAATGCATGTGAGTTCAGGCACACATATCATATTCTTGAAAGCGGGCTCATTCTCATTTGGGTCTAATCCTTAGACAATCCTAATTCTATTATGTTGTTTATGCTCTCTTTATTAGGATTATATTCAGCCTTTTATTTAGGGATTTCAAATAAGAATGTTTCCAAATTTGCTTCTGATTTATTTTGCTGTATTTATTGCGAGAGATTATATGCGATTTCGTTGCACTCTCCCATATGTATCGTCTTCTACAGTGGAATAACGTACAGCTTTTGTGTTAAAAAAATAACACATTATTTCACCAAAAGAAAAAAAAAATTATGAATTATTAATTGATTAGATAACTCAATTGTCCCAATGCCACACGCAGGAGTTTGCTAAGAGAAATTAAAATGCATATGAGTTCATGACAATACTTGAGAGTTTTAAATAAACTTTTGTTACTAGTCATATGGTCAGCGGTGCCTGAGTCAACAGTCCAAACATCATCACTAGTTTCCATAGAATTAAGGGCGATTTTAGAGTTACTTGACTTCACCAAATTCACATTGGGTGTGTTGGTCTGTTTTTCAAGCATTCGGAGTAGGAGTTGCCGCTCTTCTTTGCTTAGGCTGTCTCTCACTTCTTCTTTGCTTTCTACATGGGAACCCTTTCTGGTTGGTTGTTCTTTTGGTTTGGGGCCTTTCCATGCAATTTCCAGCATATGTCTCTGGTGTGCCCTTTCTTGTTGCAATGGTTGCACCATCTTTCATTCTTTTGGCTGGTTTGTTCTGAAGAGTAGGGTCCTTTCTTGGCTAGGGCAGAAACCTTGGACAGATGCTCCTATTTACATGGAGTGATCCTGAAGTTTAGAGGGTATTCCTTGTAGTGGAACAAAGTCAGGAAAAATCTTAGAAAGGACAGAGTGCTTGATTGCTGGAATATGTTCTTGAAGATGAAGTACTCCTCTCTTTTCCACTATTTCTCTCATCTTGCAAAGGGGGAAGCCCCTTTGGCTCTTCAAAAATGTTAGGAAAGTCTTCTAGAGCTTGCTGCACCTCATTAGGGATCTCCTCTGCCACTTCTTGGACTGAAAAACACTGTTGCAACTTTTGCTTCTGAGGTTGCAGCAAGTGAATCAAAAACATTTGCTGCTCTTGATCCTTCTTACACCCAATCTTCTTTTGTGGCACTATCATCATTGAGTTAGGAGGGGTAGCTTGTGATTTTCAAAGCTGTCCATTATACCAAAAGTGCACGGCAAGTGTTTCATATTCCCAAAGAGCACTTTTGATAGTCTTGAGCCACTATAAGCCCAAAATTATGTTATAGGTGTGTACCTCTATGATTTTCAAGTCACACATGAAGTCCATGCCTTCCATACGCCAACTAAAGCATGCCAAATTCCATGTACGTTCAATTTCCTTCCTCCTACAACCTGAACAAAAGAATAATCAGTACTACTTTCCGTCCAACCCAATTTTAAAGCAAGATCAAGATCTAGGAAATCATGGGGACTCCCATTATCAATTAAGACTTGAATACTTCTCTTGCCCACAAAACCTTGGATTCTCATTGCTTTAGTGTTGTCAACTCCATTGATTGCATGAAGAGATATGAGTGGTGTGGAGTCCTCTTTTTCCTCAGGTTTTGTCTCTTCATGGTTTTAATCACTTCTTCAAGATCAATAAAATATAGCTGCATCTTTTGTCTTTGGGGGCATTTAAGATCTTTAGAGAATTTTTCATGACAGTAGAAGCATAAATTCTTTGCCTTATGATCTGCCTATTCTTTAGCTTAGAGAATGTTGGAGTTTTTATTGAAGATCTTGGAAGCCTCGTTGGCATTCCTGGGTCTAGTGATTGTGAGTTTATCTTTTTTCTAATTATTGCCATTAGTCAACACATTCTTGTAGGGGGTTGAGGTGGCCAGAGTGATAAACGATGCAGAGGACAAAGGTGTCGCATACTTCGCTCCCCTATCCACTAATTTCTTTTCTTTAATTCTGTCATTAGTGATTTCCTCTTTTGGGCTAAGCTTTTAGCCTCTCGTAGGGTGCGGGGCTGAAACATTCTAACAAGCTTGGAGATTTCTTCTCTACGTAGTGATAAGCATGCATCTTGAAGAGCAGAGGTTGAATTCAGTGTTGAACTTGTATAAAATCCCTAGTTGTCGCAAGCGAAGCAAGTCGCCCATGGGAGATTCATATGTAGGTTTGAAGCAATCCTTAAGTTTGGCAATGTAATCCTCCCATCTTGGCAAGATTTCATGCCATCTATGCTCGTGAGAAAGGTGCCAACGAAATGCCTCCTCATCAAGATGAAGACTCTCCATATTGACTTTCGCATCTTTTGGGGTTTTGTCTTGCTCAAAATAGTGCTCGCACCTTAGGATCCACACTATATGTCTTGCTTGGTAAATTTCGGGAATTCCATGGGTGTAAATTGCATCTGCTAAGGTCACGCCACCTCATGGTTTCTTCGTTCTTGATTCTAATTCAGGATTATGGGCTGTTCGTGATTGTCATTAGGGGTCGTCATGATCGCTTGAATATCTTCAACATGTTGAGCCAAAAGTTGAAGCTGATTCGTGACGCCATGCATGATTTCTTGCAACATCACGACAGAGCCCAGTTGACCTTTGATGAGTTGCATGCATTCGTCCATGGCTTTGGTGTTAACCATCTATGGTGTCTTAGGCATGGAGGTTTGGAATTGCAGTGGGTAGACGAAGAACCTGGCTCTAGATACCACTTGTGATGGAGAAGAAGAGGAAAGAGAGAGAAGAGGAGAGAAGAACAAAGAGGATTGAGAGGGAATAGAGAAATCGAAATTGAATTTCATTCACTGAATAGAAAACACATAACAAGTACAAATGATTGGGATGTCTCCTATTTATACGCTAGGCTCCTACAAGCCTAATGGGTAGTCTAGCGAACAAAATATTAACAGAACAAATATTAACGGCTGTAAACTAACCAACTTTTTCTTATATTTATAACATAACATATTCTTTTATCCTTGAATCGCCAGTAAAACTAGGACTTTAATTTTTGTTATTAGGAGAGAGGAAGTTGTGTTGTTTTCGGTTTTCCCATGCCCATATCATCATTGGTGACTACTTTCTTTTGTTTGTGGTTGAGCTGACACTTTTCACGCTTGAAGCATGAACACTAGCTCTCTTCTTTTGGCAGTCTTAGCATCAAACAATCACATGAATATCTTTCATGCTGCACAAAGGAAGCTGTGTCGGTGCTGTGAGGGTTCTTTTATTTCTGCATTTTTTCTATTATGAGAATTCATGTCTTGCTAGTGAGAGATTCAGCTGAAAAATTTCCCTCAGGCAGGGATAGCAAAGCCCTGTTGAGTTCATTCTCTCTTGATTTCTCCACCACTGTTTTCATTTCTTTTACACAATGAGCTAGCACCATCGACTCATCCAACTGTTTGATGTACATACTGCAAATGTCAGCCTGATCTCTTTCTTGGCTTCACATTTCAAGGCTCCCTGGAGAAACTCTCCAGAGGCAGACTTTAAGGGAACCAATAATAGTTCAACTTGGACCAAAATTTCTGGCTTTGATTGTTTGCGTGGTCAATGACTTGTGAGTTTGCATGTCCCTATTTTTTCCTGCTTGCCTGACCGGTGTTTCTTTCTTCTTCAACGGTCACCCCTCCATTGTGACCGCATCTCGTTTTGGATTCCCAAATTTTCTTAGTTCCCTTACATCACGATTAAGGCTGTATATACATCCCTCCATTTTGTATTAACTGTTCCTCAACCGCTATAATTATGATACTGATTGTAAGGCCCTTGGTAAATTCCTGCATACACATGTAATACCAAAAGGAAAGCAGCGGATGAGGAAACTTGTGCCCTGTGTTCATCATTTGAAAGGTAACACCGTGGAAGTTTCTAAAATTTGCGTTAAGTGGCTAATCTCAGTCAGTGTCAGCCCCCAATACAATCCCCAAAGGAAAACAGGATCCAAAATACAAAGAGTAATGAAAAACAAGTTGCTAGCTTTTGAGAGGTCTGTCCTCTCCTAATTTATTGTCCAAAAAAGTGACCTCAATTCCGGATCTGAGATCTGTGATAACATTGCAGACTACCTCAACGACTCTTTCTATTGGCGGCACAAATCTGACTTGTCTACTTCCTCATCCTTTGCCATTCAAAGTATAAACCTCGTTGCGTCTCTCAAGTCTGATGGTATTATCTTTATCCTGATAATTACTTCCTTATGGGGATTGTCTGTGGGTTTCAGGCAAAGTTGGAGGCTAATCTTGGATATCCCATTATAAATCAGTCTATGAACACCGTGTTACAATAAATTGTTGAGATCTGGATAATTTGGTGTTAAAATTCATTTGTCTATCTTTTCTCATCACTGTGGGATTAGAAGTGGTTTTGGTGAACCTATATGGTGAGAGCATGATACTTGTTCTTTGTTACCTTCCACTGAGCCATGGCATTCTAGACATCACACATCATGCCTTTTATATGTGCAAAGGTGGTGAAGGGATCCACCAAATGGGGAATCCTTGTGGATCTCCTGGGTTAAATTAGTTTTCCTTTATATAGAAGGCACCCCTTTCAATTAGTATCCTTCTTGGGTAGGCTGATTGATAATCAACTTGTTGATTATAAGTTGGACAACTGAGTTTCTGATTCAATTTTCTTCTCTCAATAATCGAAAAGATCTTACTGACAAAGTGAATAAGCATGAAACTACATTGTTCTTCTTTTGCTTTATAGTGAATCTGTAACTGTATTCTTTATTCTCTGATCTTTTCTATTGTTGTATTACAGCCTGTTAATTATGAAACTCTTCCACTTGCATAGCTCTTAGAGAAAGTGTTTGCTAAAATAAGGAATAGGCAGCTGTTACATTGTTAGATAATTAGAATTTATAGTTGGTAATGTGTTAGTTCTGTTAGGAAATCCTATTTGTATCCCTATCAGTATAAATAAAGGATATATGGAGCAAAGATTTGTGCTGATATGAACAAATTTGTGCTACGTTTTCTCTTGCAATTTATACTCTCTCTCCTAATATTGTTTAATTTTTTAAAAGAAAATAATAGTCCTTTTGTTATATTTGAAACTGTCAAAATTTGAAAATTCTCATTTTGTTTCTTGTCTAGTAGTGCTTCTATTATTGAGGCATTTTCCTCATATATTTATTTGTGTTCTTATGATTCAAAATTGTTTCATTGACATTGCAGGAGCAAAATGTGCTAATGGCATAATTATGTTGGATGATTATGTAAGGAAGAAATGCAGTGAAAAGCCCCGAAGCACCTATCCAAAGGTGTTATATATTATTTTAATGACAGAATTCTAATATTTTTGCTTCTGGATTTTGGGGAGTTTTTGGTGGCTTTTTAAAATCATGTCTCGTTTGATTCATCAGTCGCTTCATAACAATATTTCTGATTTCCCGATACTGATATTTATCTTACAAAATGCATTATAGGTAGCTCCTGCTGTGCAAACCTATGCATCGAACTTTACACGTAAGTACTTGAAAGAAGAGCTGATTATTTCTTCTTCTTCTCTCTCTGTTTCTTTTTCCTTTTTGGCTTATTTTGTTTTGTTTCCATTCTCATTCGCGTGTTTATTAGCTACTAAAATCATTTCAATGCATCCATTTCCTGTCATCAGACTTCCTGCCGAGTAACATCCAACCATATCCTGCTCCATTTGTCAGGCCAATGTATGCTCCTTTTGTAGTTTGGAGAAATTAGAACAACTGTACCTGCACCAAAAGTAGGTAAGTTTTGTTCTGCAATACTGTATCCTGGTTTTGAACTTCCCAATTTTGAAGGTGCTGAAATGTAATCTCCGGAGTACATTTTTTTTTAAAAGGTGGGGGTCATGCATGTTTGTGCATGAGCCTTCTGCTTCAATATAAACATCCATAAAGATGTTAAGTTCTTCAAGACAAGTTGTTCCGAGAAAACCATTACACCTTGTGGCTTTTCTTGTTGAAATGATTGGATAGTCCTTTAAACTGACAAATTTTCTGAACTATCTGTGCAATACCGGATGTCTTTGTTACTCCTCCAAAGAAGCAGAATTTTTTGTTTTTTTTTTGGGAAAAAAATTAATACTAGGATATATGACAAAACATTAGAACACACACCAACATAGCAACGATAAAACAAGGTTCAAAGCTTCCAAAACAAGGCTTGCGAACTCTGCAAGACAGATTCTTCAAGCAATAGGATGCGGCTTGATGAAGAAATTAGTCATTTAACACAAGATGCCCATTTAGATATTCCCATGACTTGTTGAAGAAACTCCAAGAATGCATAGGGTATCAGCAACTATTGATGTTGGGACTTCAACTTTATTAGCATGATACGAACTGGAAAGTAGACATACAAAACCATAGACAAACACAATACTGCGAGCAAAGAAACATATAGCTCGAGTTGATGGTGGACCCTCAAGAAGTTGCCTTCGTTTTGAGGGTTTGCTCATGGCTGGGTATCTTCATGGTGCAGCATGTGCGAGGTTTCTTAGGCACAAACCCTGACAAAGCCCAACTCTGAACCAAGCTGTGATGTGCCGAACAATGAAGGATCCTCGTGATACTGTTTGACACATCCTAAGAAAAATAATTTGAAACTTTATGGCAGGTTCATGATACTTGCTGCAGGATCTGTAGTTATGTTCTTTTTGATTTTAAATATAAGAGCTAGTTGGGAGTCGCTTATAATTGGAAATAATAGTATATTGAACATTAATGGCTTTTTTAAATGATCTTTTTTTGTGGCCTTAGTTATCTAGTTTCATGATTTACTTTAAAAAAAAAAGAAGGAAAAATTAATCTTTTGGTCCCTGAATTTTTACCTCGGCTATGACTTAGTCCCTTAACTTCTAACTCGGTTGAAACTCGGTCTCTAATTTTGTTGCTATAATAAATTAATTCATGTCATAAACAAGTGGCCTTGAGTCATCACCCAATGGCCCTGTACATGCTGAGATGGCTTTCAAGTAAGTTTTGCGTTCATAAGCCGCGATCCTCCCTTGTTTCCTACTCCTCATTTTCTTTCTTCTCAAAATTATCCATAAGGCGAATGTATTGTTTACAGTACATATGCGGTGAAAAATTAATCAAAATTAAAGTGTGGGTGGGGGGTGTAATTAAATTTATGAATGGAGAGGCTATATAGACAGTAGATGTGGTGGGTTTAACATGACACGGAAAAAGATTTATAATAAGATAATGTTATTCTTCACAAAATCTAAGTATCCCACCAAGAACCGATACAATAACAATGAAAGCCAGGGGAAAAGCGAAGCTGAAGCTCATGCAAATAAAAAGAACATGCTAAACTGTACAAACACAGTTCTATCTTTTTATTGGTGAGGAACCAAAGAAAAGAAAAATCTGTTCCTTCAATTCAAGCACAACTTCTTCCATTTTGATTTTGATTGATTTGCGTGGGTGTGTGTAATTTTATACTGCATATATACTGTAAATTACACCTTGGCCTTACGAATGATTCGCAGAAGGAAAATGAGAATGAAGTAGGGGAGGGTTGTGACTGGTGAATGCCGAGCTTATTTGGAAGCCATGTTAGCACGTACAGGGTGATTGGGTGATGACTCGACGTGAGTTGTATATGACATGGATTAATTTATTAAATAGGAAAAAAATTAGAGAATGAGTTTCAACCGAGTTAGAAGTTAAAAGACTGAGTCATAATTGAGTTAAAAGTTTAAGAACCAAAAGATTAATTTTCCTAATAAAAAACTATAGTCATTTGGTCCACCCCGGCCTCCTTTTTTTTTTGGGGGGGGGGAGAGGTACCAATCTTGGGTGCTTCCTATTTTTGTGTCAGGCAACTGTGATAACCTACATAGAAGCATTTATATCTATGCTTCCACATTATTCTATATATCATGGTTTAAAGTTTTTCTTAATTATTGAAATCAGATACTTCAATTTTTTTTATTTTATTACCTTCCCCCCTCCCCCACTTTTCATTTTTTTCTTTTGATTTTGAAATCCTGCTAGATATTTGTCTCATTTGGAACTTTTCCTCCTCCTGACGAGTTGAAAATTTGGCATGGTATAAGGAGATTAATGACGTGTTAGGACCCAAAATTATGAAATGTCAATTAGTCACTTGCCCTCCCTTCCTCTACTATAATAGCACATTTTACTGAATCTTGTGACTAATAAATGTGTTTACCTTGAAAATACCTTTAGCAAACCAAAACAAAAAACAAAAAAAGGAATCCTATTAATTGGATGGTGTCTCTGGCCACTGCAAGCCCTAACAATATGGAATTTGGATAAGTTTAGATTGATGATGATGGTGATGATCCTTGTCATTATCCCATATAGAGAGGGTTTGGTGGATTAATTAGGGCTACAAGGGGGGCGTATATTGCTTCGGCTTCCATGTGATTTCGACATGGATAGAATCACGAGCGTCTTCATGGTATTGGAGCTCAGGTCCGTGACTCATAATAAACTCAGTTTGGCACATATAATGCCCTCTATGGCGGCGCGATGGCTCAGAGTCGCCTGAAGGAGGCACGTCAACTACAGGCACGACATGGAAGTGAAAAGGAAGGGGTAGTGGTGATAAGGTCCGAATTAAAAGGAGGACCACTGAGTTAGGGTGTATTTGGATTAACGGTGGAGAAGTAACTTTTTTTTTCAATCTAATTTTTACAGAAGTCAGATTAGATAAAAGTAACTTTTTTAAGTTTCTTATATAAATCCGTTTCAGTGACAGAAGTCAGATTGTAAAAATGTGATTTCAAACACATCTCAAATCAAAAAAGCTCTTTTTATCAGTAGAGAAGTTAGTTTGAAGGTCCAGATGTGATTCCAAACACACCCTTAGACGAGAAATTCTTAGAAACAATTGAGAGTGCCATCTCATACATGTTCCATGTTCTGACCACTAAAATTATACTAAATTAAATAAAATTCTCCTACTCATTTCTTTTTAACAAGCATAGGTATCATTTAATTAGGGATATCTTAAGATGTTATTGGCACTAAATGTGAATATTTTTTTTTGACCAAAAATTGAATTTTAGCTTGTTATGTTTTGAGAGATTGTGCCTTTTCATGAGGACGAGATTGTGCCTTTTCAATGGACCCTACCCTGTTGTCTATGTGTCATTATTTTAACTTAACTGAGCGGCTGCAATTTTCTTGGCTGGAGCAAGGATGAGATGGTTGGCGGAAAAAAAAAGGAAGAAGAGTGAGGATGAGGTGGTATGCAAGATATTTTCTTTGTGGTTTCCGTTAATGACCCTTGCGCCATGCTGCATCAAAGGAGACACGCGAGAAGGTCATGAGAGGTGTACGCTCACTGTATATCAGGAATCTCTCGTCTTTCCTTCCCGTCCTCTTCTCTCTGTTTTTTTTTTAGCCATTCGATTAATATTTTAAAGGTTCAGATTTTAAATTTTTTAAAACTATTATTAAAATATTAAATTATAAAAATAAATAAATAATAAATTACAAATTATATTAAAATTTAATTCTAACAGTTTGCAAATGCAGTAAATGTTTTTAAAATTTTTTTATAAGTAGTTTATAAAAAAATTAAAATCTGAACTGTTGAAATATGTTAATCTAATAGTTAGAAAAAGGAAGAGAAAAAAGAGAATAGGAAGGGAAGAGGAGAGGTTCCGAATGACACTATATATAACATGTCTCGTTACATTTCGGAGGATCAAAACGTGGTTTCGATCATGTTTGTGTGGCTTCCAAACATGGAATCGGGATTTGGCTAAATTACGCAATTCTCTGAAGGTAACTCCAAAAATTGAGTTATACAATTTGAAATATGATTTATTTACTAGTAATTGTTACTTAATACTGCCTCCGGTCCCTAATTTAATTTTTACAAAATATAATATTTGTTTGGAAAAATTAATCTTTTGGTCATTTAATTTTTAATGTAGTTATGATTCGATCCTTTAATTATAAATTATTGGGACTCCTCAGTCCATAATCTTTATTCATTTCCCGACTTCCAAATAAGGTCAACGTGGTTGGAAAATTTTTGCTCAATCAGGTCGTTGGAGAGAAATGTTGAGGATGGTTATGTGATGATTCAACGTGAGTTATATAGGATAAGGATTAATTGATTAAATGAGAAAATATTAGGACTAAGTTTAAGCAGAGTCAAAAAAAATTTTCATGAATTGAGTCATAACGAGATATAATTGAAGAATTGAATCATAATTAATTTAAAAGTTAAGTAACCATAAAATTAATTTTCTTTATTTGTTTTGCTCATTAAAATATTTTATTTGCTTACTTGTTAATAATTATTGTATATTTTTTTGCCAACATTATTGTATAATATGTGAATACATCATGTAATTAGGAGTAGATGAAATTGTCTTTCTTTTAAATAAAAAAAGTTAAGTTATTAAATCGTCTTCAACAAATTATATGATAAATTTCATTATTTAAAAATTGAAGAAAAAAGTTAACACATTTAGGAAAAATTAATCTATAAGCCCATATAATTTATCTTAATTTTGAATCAAGTAATGTAGTTTTTTAAACAAAAATTTTCTAATTTATTGTTTGAATTGAGCTTTTATAAATTGATTAATTATATAAATTTATCCTTCAGTATAACATCCGTTGACTTTAATTTAAAAGATTTGATGAATTTTATCCATTTTTTTTAATTTCATTTTAACGCCCGCACACTTCTATAAATAAAATTTCATAATGTTTGTAAATTAAAATTACAATATCAAACAACGAGGGCTCAACTCAAACAACATAAATTATAGAAATCTGATTTGAAATTGAGGTAAACTATAAAATGTGGATTCTTATTTCTTTAAACGTTTCCTTGAATTTTACATGCATGCGAAGAGAATTGACATTCTCATGTATCCACCCAAGGACCCAAGGACTATTATTATATATGTGAAAAGTGATCATAAATATCTATTCAAAATATGTGTCTATGTTTAATATATTTGTTGACCAGTGTCTATATTAAAGATATGCCTGAACTAGTTATAAAATATGACATTTATAAAGTGATATAATTCATAGATTGGGAATGAGTATTTTTATCAAGGTCAAAAGGAAAAAGAATGAGGTTTTTTTTTTTTTGTGTATAACCTAGAGTATTCACAAGCCACTTTGGGTTTGAAACTAACTTCTATTAGGCTAGGAGCGTTAAAGTCAAAACTCTTCCAACAAATACCTTTTTTTGGAATTTGACTTTATGTTCTTCTCCTTATAAGGATGAGGTTGCTTACTATCTCAACGAATAGCTTGTTGGTAAAAATGAGTATTTTTCACCAATTCAATTATTTATTTTATATAAAGACAATTTATCTAACAGACAAAACGAGTACAAAATTAAAAAAATATATACCTGTTAAAATTGGACAATTTGAAGAAAAATTACAAGAATAGAAAAACAGATATAAAATACAACCCAAACAACAATAGTAGCAAAAAGAAAAACAAACAACAAAGCTCCTGCATTGCATCCTACTCAAGCCATGGGCCAGCCAACTAACCTTGACAAAGGTCAGCATTTTAGAGCTAAAGCACCACTCCCAACCTGAACTAGCCATATTGTCGTCATACAGATACTACCAAAGAGTTCTTCTTTAGATAAGAGAGGAGAACTTTGATGCGAATACATAAAGAAAACATCTCACGAACCCATAATCAATTTGAAATATATTCACACCAAGAAAGCTAAATAAAAGTCTGGTGATCCACTTGTACCCTTAAACATAGAAGAACAAGGACGCGAAGTATTGGAAGACGTCACAAGGTTGATCAAACCTTAATAAGTCTATTAGTTTAATGAAGAATTCTAGAGAGAATCCACTCTTAAGTCAGGAAGTGCAAAATACAACATTTCATTTCTCAAAATCAAGTTTGCATACAAAATGAGAGGTTCAAAGTACTTTAAAGAGATCCATTCAAATTTGGCCTAAAAAGCATTTAATGCAACCTAGAGACTAAAAAATGTTAAATACAAACTTAAAAGAAATTAGAATGACTTAATACAATATATTTGGAAACTCAAAAGTCAAATCTGCCAACTAATTTCTAATTTTTGCACAAGTAGATTTAACAAGATATAATCAGCATGTAAGCTCAAAATGTGATTATGTAGGCTCAAAATTAATCTGTAAGCCCATATAATTTATTTCAATTTTGAATAAAGTAATGTAGTATTTTAAAACAAAAGGTTTCTAATTTATTTTTTTTGAATTGAGCTTTTATAAATTGATTAATTATATAAATTTATCCTTCAGTATAACATCCGTTGACTTTAATTTATAAGATTTGATGAATTTTATCAAACTTTTTTATTTCATTTAACGCCCGTGCACTTCTATAAATAAAATTTCATAATGTTTGTCAATTAAAATTACAATATCAAACAACGAGGGCTCAATTCAAACAGCATAAATTATAGAAATCTGATTTAATTATTTCTGTAAGCATTTCCTTGAATTTTACATGCATGCGAATAGAGTTGACATATTCTCATGTATCCACCTAAAAACCCAAAGACTATTATTATATATGTGAAAAGTGATCATAAATATCTATTAAAAATATGTGTCTATGTTTATAGTTGTTGACCAGTGTCTATATTAAAGATATGCCTGAACTAGTTATAAAATATGACATATAAAAAGTGATATAATTCATAGGTTGGGAATCAAGGTTAAAAAAAAAAAAGAATGAGTATTTTTTTTTAAATAACTCGCAGTATTCACAAGTTACTTTAGACTTGAAACTAAATTTTATCGAAGTATTAAGATTAAGTTTTTCCCAACAAATGTGTTTTTTTAAATTCAAACTTGTGTTCTCTTTATAAGGATGATGCCGCTTATCATCTCAATGAACAGTTTGTTGGTAAAAAATGAATATTTTTCACCAATTTAATTATTTATTT